TTAATTTTATTCGATTCTACCGGGCTTCTGGAGGGAATTAATTTCCTTATACCGAGAGGAAAACGTTCTTCAGATACATTTGCTCACTTACTAACTACTCTCTCAATTGTGGATTGGCCAGATTGCAGCGTCTTGGAAACGAAGTCGGATCACAAGTTGACTTCTTCAACGAACAGTGTTGTCTTCCTTCAGAAGGAAATCCTCTAACATTATCTTTGTTATGCCTGTTTTGTAGCTGATGTATGTTTGTTTTGTTCTAAAATCTTTTTATTCTTGTTATTCATTTATAGATTTATTGTTGTTTGTTGTTAATTATTCACATAACTTTGTCATCATAGTTTATATATTGTTAATCTCGAGGAGATATTTGTTGTTGTTGTACTTTCAAATCTATATGCTTTTTCTGAAGTCCAAATTAATATTAAATATTTTTTGTTATTATCTGTAATTGTTGTTACGTTGTTGTCTTGTTATTATTTTTTGTTGCAATGCTGCTTTGTTTCATGGTCATTATGTAACTTATCTTGTTATTTTTGTTGTTATCTTTTCATTCTGCTCATGTGCTTAAAACACATATATTTTGTAAATGGTGTATCCGTTGATATTAATAAATGTATTGCTTCAATACTATTTAGCGAATTTTCCATATAGGGAATAAGCTATTACCGTGGCTGTCATGGTAAGACCTGGACCCGGGACCGATTTACTTTTTCGTTTTGAGGTCCCCAGAGGCCAAAAACACCATTAGTTCAAATTCATATACAGTATGTATATATATTTATATGTGTCCGTTAGCGCGATAACTCGAACCAAAATGATCACATTTTGATGAAATTTGGTATAAGCGTGTAAATCTACATTTATTCCAACGAGTTTGTGAACCAGCATGATCATTGATCGTTCCATGGGAACGGGGTTTTATGGGGGTTTTATGTGGGTTTTTATTGGGTAAAAATGAGTTTTTCCCATTTTTGACTAAAAATTTGTAAAAATTTGCAATTTCTTTCTAAACAGTTTTGTAAAGCTTAGAAAAAGAAATAATTTAGTGTATTAACTCTCTCTAAAAATTACAGAGAAAATTTAAAATAAGTTTAAGTTTTTTAAATTTCCATTTTCTTATGGAGAAAATTAAAACTGTCGTAGTTTACTTGTTTATGGATGTATGTTGATAAAATTTGGAAAATTTATTTATTTCATCCTATGCTATTAAAGATTGGTTAAAATCTGTTTTTACCTTCCCCATATCAGCAAACCTAGGCACTCGTTAAATCTAATGTTATTTAAATTGGGAATACAGTAAATATGTCTTATTTATGGAAATATTTTAGTAAAAATGTAATCAGACAAGTTGAAATACGGTTAGTCTGCAGGTTTGCTGCGGCGGGGGTATTATAAACTATTACATTTCACAGGAGTCATCAAGAGTCATTTAGTTCTCACAATTTTGTAGGTCAGTGCTGGGTCTTTAAAACGTTTTACATCTCGAGCAAGTAATTAATCAACAGATGCTTATGCTTATCAGGAAGGATAAACGTGTTGAATGGCAAAGGTCAATCAGTGATAGCGATGTTTTATCAGCTGGCAGGTTGTTGTCCGACAAGAACATCGCCAATTAAATGATTCCCGTATGTCTTGGGTTTGTAAATATGTTGTTGATGTTGTGTTGTTGAGTGTTTTATTACTTAACTCAGAACAGTAATTGTACATTACTAGCAAGTTATCCTGGTGATAGCGTCAACGCCTGCAAGTTTGTTTCTATTGTTTTAATGAATATTGAACGTAATATTACCAAAGTTATAAATTAATCAATCGAAGCTGTTAAACAAATGGTGAATTTGAATAGAAGTACGTGTTTTCATTGAATGCACATAACGCATGTCTCCAAATACGATATTGTTGACATGTTATATCATTTAATTGATTACTGTCGGTTAAAATACAAAAAAACCTACAGTCGGTTTAATTGCGTGTTAATACCATCTTTGTTGTTTCTAGTATAATAATAAAATTCCGCTACATTTAAATCTGGGATATGTAGTAGTGTTGCTTTTTATACTTGACCCGTTCAGTGCAGTGTGATCAAGACTCTAGGCGCAGGTGTGTACTATAAGAGCACCTGTCTCACATTTCACTGTCATCAGCTGCAATCTAATAAAAGGTTTTCTTACTGACAACACAGATTTTAGTTATACAACATTTTAATGACTTTAAATACATCGTTAACAGAGAATCACAGTGTAACTTATTACATTTTAGGAGAATATTAGTTGCCATTAAATATAAACCGTGTGTGTGTCCGTTTTCTTATTGCCATAATCTGACAACTCAAATGTTAATCACTGGAAATACAAAACTACATATTTATATAATTAAGTACACAATAATATATTTAACACAATCAACGTGTTTTCCTTGATGTATTGAATGCTACATGTACCTATCAATTATATGCTCATCTATTCTGCTCTTCGCTCTTCATTTACTTACTCTAAAATAATGGTTTAATATTATACATCAAGGTGGCATTTTAATGGCTATGGAATTATGTACTTATCGTTAGACCGATTATGACTTATAGGCTTACACCTGTTGGATGTTTTTTCGTTGATGCTAATTATACACCATCGGCGGTGACTCGTAGATGTACAGTTCTTGGTATCGTCCGTCGTCATCGTCTACTATACTGGCTACTACTGTGGCATACGGACGGAACGACGGAGGCCAAGGTCGTTCGTAGACAGGAAGTAACCTCGGCATTTCCGGTTTGGATCGTTCCCTACTCCGGTTCCCTAGTCCAGTCGTCCAGTTTACTGACACTGACTGACACATTTACTTTCTCACCGCCGCAGCACGCAACACGTCAGGCAGGCACGTCACCGCTTAACCGGGGCCAACGTTAACTCTACTGTCCAGTCCACCGGGGAGCGAGCTGGTGTAGTGGTTAGAGTGCGGGACTTCAGTCCCTGAGGTCCCGGGTTCGATCCCCGCCAAGTCACCAATGGATTTATCTAAGTGATAATGCCGCAACCCCTAGGTCTAGCCTGAAGTAATTTGATAAACAATCCCAGGCTCGTGCCTAGCGTCCTAGGACAAAAAAAAATAGCCCCGCCGCAGCAAACCTGCCGACTAAGCGAATTTCCATACAGTATTGTCTTAATTGATTTTCAATTAAATATATTTTAATAACATTAGGTTTAACGAGTACCTAGGTTTGCTGCTACAAGGAAACTAATAAATTGTGTTTTTTGTAAAATATTGATAGCTTAGTACAAAATAAATAAATTTGATCAAAATACAAAATATATCCATAAACAAGCAAACTACAACATTTGACAATATTCTCCATAAGAATAACATGGGAATTTTAAATTTACAATTTTTTTAATTTTCTCCTTTACTATTAACCGAACAAAAATACTTTTATATACTAAATTAATTGTTTTTTTAAGCTCTTTAAAAAGGTCTATAGAGAAATCGGGAAATTTTGTGTTTTGAGGGTCAAAAGTGAGAAAAACCAATTTTTACCCCATAAAACCCCCCGTAAAGCCCCGTTCCCATGGTCCGATCATGCTGGTTCGCGAACTCATTCAAGTTTATCCTGCTTTACACCTTTTAACCAAATTTCATCAAAATCTAACAAAAATTACTCAAGTTATCGCGTTAACGGACGTATATATATATATATATATATATATGTCTATATATATATATATATATAAATTTGAACGAATGGGGTTTTTTGCCTCTGAGGACATCAAAATGAAAAAAGTAAATCGGTCCCGGGTCTAGGTCTTACCGTGCCACCTACGGTAATAGCTACTTCCCTATAGTCCCCCCTACACTTCCCTATAAAATGGGGGTTTCCCATTTTTCACCTTAACACGTTCACTGCTAATGACGCACTTGTGCGTCATAAGTATATTAGCAGATATATAATACATGATGTATATAATTACATAATATATTTTAATCCACAATTTATAGTATAAAATTTATTTAATTAAAGATATATTGTCACTCAATTAACATGATCATGTTAATGTTTATGTTTTTTAGCCATTTATAAAAGTATTACATATCATTAGCAGTGAATGTGTTAAAAACAAAAATTTTTGCAATTTCTTTGTAAACCATTTTGTAGAGCTTTAAAAAATAAACAATTTAGTATATTTATGCGGTGTTGTATGCCTAACGGTAATGGAGAAAATTCAAAAATAGTTTTATTTAAAATTCCCATGTTATTCTTATGGAGAAAATGAAAACTGTTGTAGTTTACTTGTCTATGGGTATATATTGATACAATTTGGCAAGTTTATTTATTTCATCCTATACTATTGACGTATAGTCCAAAAACATTTTTTACCTTCTCCGTAGCAGCAAACCTAAGCACTCGTTAAATATAATGTTATTTAAATTTGGAATAAATATGTCTTATTTATGGAAATATTTTAGTAAACATGTAATCAGTTGAAATTCACTTGGTCTGCTGCGGTAAGAGGTTTGCTGCGGCGGGGGTATTTTTCTTCACACCAGATTCGATGTCCCCATGTCCCCTTGCCATCAAGTGGATTGTGGAATTCATAGTGACAGTTTTTGAAAATTAAAGTTAAAACTTTTAGATTTTGGTGAAACTTTTTTTAAACTAATGTCGTGAACCTAAGTTATAGTTTTATAATTAATTGATTTTAGTTCATTTGTTGTCATGTAATGTAAATATTGTTGACAACGTCACCTTATGTAATCGTAGACAATATAAACAATGTATGTTTCACTGAAGACTGTTCTAATGGTATCATACTGTCATTCTTTAAAATACAAGCGCATTTAACCCTAGTGTCTATTTTTTTAAATTGTTGTTGGCCGGTCATTGTGATATACTTTCATCCTGTATTGTAACTTCCCAAGGGGTGGTTACATACATGTGTAATATTAACAATAGTAACACTGTAAGAATCTCTTCTTTCCATTTTGTAACAACTTTGTGCAATGCAATGTTCCAGGAGTTTGACCTAGAGCAGAAGATAGACCTAGAGATCAAGATGCGTGAAGGCACCACCAAGCTACTAGCAGCGTGTAGACATCAGGCCACTACACTGGAGGCAGCTAAGAGTCTGTTGACCAGCAACGAGCGCATGTCTGCATACATGGCAGAGCTGCAGCGTCGTCGTCGAGAGTTACCACCGAGGCTCATCGGGTAGAGTTACTATTATGTCATCAGGTTTACATTGTACAATATTAATTAACACTGGGAAATTTATTCTGAAAACAAGAAGATTGATTTTCACAAAATACAAAAACGTGTAAAATTTTGCTATTTTGGCTTTAAAATTGTATAGAAGAAAAATAGTTTTCACCACACTTTGATGTTTTTAGCTGTTTTACATACGATAATTGGTGGCTGAAAGTTATGTTTTGCTGGCGATGACAGCTGTCATCGTCATTTGGGAACCGAGCAGGTTTTTACATCCCTAGGGCCGCAAAATCAGCTGCCCGCTTACTTTCATAAAACATGAATACATATTAAATACACAATCAGTATCCATAGCATTGCAATATAATTGTATTATTGTCACCGTTGCCTAGCAACTAGGTATTTATTATTTTTTTCGCTGATTCCTCAAATTATTTCTTCACATAAAAAGTTGTAGTTGTGTTGACTATCAGTGTGGTGAAAAATAGCGTTCGTACCACGGACCGAAATGGTTTTGCAGCTCTCGATCATTTTAAGTTCTCGACTTTGTCTCAAACTTAAAATATCTCGAGCTGGCAAAACCTTATTTACGGCCCTAGGTACGAAATAAACTATTACACATTATTTATCTATTAGCAATGATTGCTTATAAATCATGTATTATTTGTTCTATCCAGATGTTTGATCTTTTATTCTTGGGAGTGGCGCCTAAATACCTCAACGCAAAATCTTCCCTCAATCATTGCTATCTGGGAATTTTAAGCTATAGGGCATCGTTTTGATTCAGGATCTCCTCTGAAGCAATAATGTATTGGTGATTGGTGCATTGAAAGGTTTATTTTGCAAATAATAGTGATTATTTCAAGTAAATATTAATCTGTCCTGGCATGTTGCAGGAGCGGGTGCAAGGCACGAGTGTGTCTCTCGGACCTGCGTATGCCTCTCATCTGGAGAGACACAGACCATTTCAAGAACAAGGGAGACTACCGGAGGTTTGCTGTGTTCTGTCTGGCTCGTATCGGCACCGAGGTGTATGACACGTCGCTGCTGTGTCCTGTGGATCGATCTCTCACAGATCTCACCTTTCCTGACATCCTTGTCTTGTGAGTTAACAAAAATAGACCCAGCCCAGATATCTCACTAACATAAATTACGATAGGATTTCTGATGAAGAAGGAGCTGGATTGACATTAAGCCTAAGTGATTATATGGAGATTTGTTTTTGTTTTAAGAATGAAGTTTGGTCATTAAATTAGAATTAGATTTAGAATAAGCATATTATGATGGCATCTTAGAATCCTTTACTCCTATATGAGTATGAGCAAGTTTTGCTTATATAAATGTATGCTTGCACACAGATCTCAGAAACGGCTTCGGAAATTTCTTTGAAATGTTGTAAATAATTTATTCTGGCATAAAAACGAGATTGACGACAGCCACTATCTCAGCAAAATTCTTATTTGGCTACACTTCTCATTTGAAAATTAAAAAAAAAAAAAACTAGAGGACCCATGCTACTCTGCAGCGTTAAAATAAATATAATATCCAAGAAGAAATAATCAAATTTATGATTTTTGATTGAGTAATACAGTATCTTGAGCTTAACTGATTCAAACAATCAATAGCTCAAATTGAAGCCTATAATTTACTGATTATTTAGAGTCTAAAACATATAGAAAAACATGTACAATACTGGAGCTATTGATTTTTAATTATATAAAACCATATGAAAAATAATATTATGTTGGTTGTTCACCTTTTGTTTGCTTGACACTCTTCCGACTTGAATAACTAATAGCTTAAATGAAAGCCAGTATTTCACTGAAGGTTTTTGACTAAAATATATAGGATTATAAAATAAAATAAAACCAAATTTAACTCCCATAAGAAATACATGGGGAGCAAGTTTCGTTTATGTATCTGCCAAGTGGGATTATAGAAACATATATGCCGATTCTTGATGGCAAATCTGTGCGTGCATACCTTCAATTTGAGACCTCAATGAAAATCTGTTGGGTAGAAGGGCCAAACGAACTTGGAAAAGAAAAACCAATTTTTTTAAATATATAAGATTAATATTGGCCAAGTAACCATGTTGGTTAAAAAAAATAACAAGGAAAAAGTAAACAAAAGACTTGTAACATTTGTTTAAAACAAGTCATCCACAGTTTACTTACTAATTACAATATACAGTACGAAGAGAAACAGAACAGTTGTTCCTATTAAGTAAGGATCACTTCTATAGAGTAAAGACTCCTGATATTGGTGAAAATAGTTCCGATCAAATACTGATTAATTTACTTGGCTCTCTCCTAACAAAACATAATCCCCAATGTACTGAAGCAATTGTTGGCAAAATTTGGTTTATCAGTAAATTAATTATTATATAATAGGCTATTATATTTGTTTTATATAAATTAGAATCTAAACAAAACCATAGATAAAACATACTCCCTTTTTTGGTGGCCTCTTTTAACTTTGTATTTTCCCGTCCGTGGATCTATGTGTTGTGGATTGCCATCACAGGTTAAAAATTTCCATCATAATAAATTGAAATTCCACTGAAACTTAAATAATAATAAATGCCAAAGTTAGTCGTAAATAAAACGTGAGTTTCTTTTATATTGCTTTTACAATCAAAATAAACTATAGCGAGCCATGGCTTGGTCCCCCGGTACTTATTTGTATCCAGAGAACCCAGGTTATGCCTTAAAAAACTGCATCTAACTATACAGATTCTGTATCAAAGTAGTGTTAGGAAATATATTGTGTACATTCATTGCATAAGAAGATTATATACATAGTGGGATAATTGAGAGTGTATTTTATCCGATAAAATACACCCGATGTCTTGTCATTTGATAGGTTAGTCTTGTCAGAAAAAAGTTGCTAATTATTTATTTAATTTAGTTATTTATCATTTCCTGTATTATTTTGTTGATAGCTGAATTCACCAATCTATATATATAAAAGGCAAAGCCCTCACTGACTGACTGACTGACTGACTCACTCACTCATCACTAATTCTCCCACTTCCCATTTACCTAGGAGGCTGAAATTTGGTACACTGATTCTTTAGGCATTAAACAGGAAAACTAAGCTTTTATTCTGATCGGACTCTCGGGCTCCGCCCCAGTGGCTCTGGAGTTTCCCGTGTTAACCTTATGAGTACTCATATTTAAATGGAATTAATGAATCTTAACAGCTGTTTCAATTAAACAACTTGGTTCTGTTCTATGATGTGCAATAGCATTAAAGTTACAAGGATTACCAACAGGTTGCAGCACTATTATTTTTTTTAATTTATGATAACAGCTAATTTGCAACCAAAAGGTGAGTGAGCGTAGCGAACGAATATCAACCTGGCGGCGAGTTAGCGTAGCGAACGAGCTAACCTGAAGGCAAGTGAGCGCAGCGAACGAGCTCCAACCTAAAAGTGAGTGAGCGTAGCGAACGAGCTTCAACCAGGACGTGATTGAGCCATGCGAACGAGCTCATCTTGAAAATTAAGAAGTTAAACGGAGCAAAGCCCGCGGGTACAGCTAGTTCATTAATAAAACCTTTGCCATTGGTTGGGCTTTTTCTTCAAAACCTGCTTAAAAGCTTACTTGTAGTACAGGATTACTTTTAATTACTGGAATAATATGTATAAACTTATTTCAATTCTGTATGTATACCATATATTATCGATACTTTTGTAAATCTTTGTCTTATTTGTGATATTGGTAAGGCAGGAGACTTACAATTTGGGTTTGTGTTTGCAGCAACCCAATACCTGCTGACTTCACATTCCAACTGGAAGTGTACAGTCACATCCTACAAGATGACATGAGCATTGCGTCCACTCCTCGCAAAATCAAGAAGACCATTCACAGTTCCATCAGCCGCACGGTGGGCAAGAAGCTGGCTGCATCTCTGCGAGATGAACTCAACAATGGCAAAATGTTAGTTGATTTCTTACTTCACATTTATATATATAATACGCTAAACCGATTTTTGTAAACATAACTCCTCCCTCATTTTTGGACCAATTTTGATGATTAAAGTGTCAAAAGAATGGCCCTGATCTGTAGTTATGCAAAGTGTTTTTATTTTTTGGAAATCTTTATTAGTTCGGGCTGGATCTTCCATCAAAGTTGGGGTTTCTCCTATAAGGTTAACATGGGGGAATCTAAATATTTAATTGGAAACTTTGTCTCCACTAATTTAAGAGAACGACTGGGCGTAGAAACTTAGTAGAGGTGTCCAAAGAAATGTCTTGGTCTGTAGATGAGTTATAAAAAAAAAGAAGTAAATTCCCTTAGGGCTCTGCCCCAGAAGCCTTTTAAGGATACCTCCACAGATTTGTTTACATTTTGGCCATATGGTGGTGGTAATACTTTTTAATTAAACAGCTGTTAATTTTTAAATAGTATTTTAAACAACATACATTTATTGAGAGTTACTGAATTGTCCAAAGGAAGTATTTGCAATGTTATTTTCTTGAACTCTTAGAGAGCCTTTGAATGTTATTAGGCTAACGAAAAAGCGTTGTGCATGTTAACTAGCGCTACTCAGCAACAAAAATACAGTCCAACCTCGGTATAACGAATCTGAAGGGACCGAACTGAAAATTCGTTATACCAAGGATTTTGTTAAAACGAGGTTCGTTATATTGAGGTTAGGTTTGCAGGAATTTCGCTAAGTCGAGGTTCAGAACCAGCATCAGTCAATATAGGTCGGGTCGGGATTGGACCTCATTAAAACACAGTTAAAGTAGCCTAGGCTACAATACTTTACAGTGTACAGTGTTTAGATTGTAAAGTAGAACCTCGATTATCCGGGGTACTAAAGAGAAGGGATCTTTAATATTGCGCGACATTTCTAGTCATTGACCTTGGTACAGCAGTAAGCTGTGATTTTAAACTTACAGTTTGTAACTTGCAGTTTGTTGTGGGTTAGAGTAAGCGCTCTAACCCACCTAAAACCTAACCAAACACTGTATTGTATAGCAATAAACTACGTAAAGAACAAAACAAAACAGTAGAGAGTTTTGTAAGCTACTGCTCGTGATAGGCCGGTAGGCTACAGCACTGCTTTAAATCACAACAGAGGCATGTCAATACTGTAATAATCATCAACTATAGCATTGGTGTTGCCTTAGTTTAAACAAATCGTATTGAAAATAATAATATTACATAAGTCATTATAAAAGTGTATAAATCATAGCCAACTTAAAGATAATAAAAACACTCGTAAAAGGAATGTTAAGATAACGATGTTGCTATTCTTTCTCTTTGCTTTGTTCTTCTAGTCTTTTTCTTTCTTAAGTTTCTCTTCATCCAAAAATTGTAAAATTCACCATATTTACTTATCACCCAATCACAGCTTACTACACATTACGTCGTCATCAGTCCTCAGTGAATGAAATCAGTCCTCAGTTGTAACATAGTGCGCATGCAGCAACGACAGCAGACAGGGATGTGTAAAACGGAGCAGACGAATGTTAGCGCAAGCGTTGACGTCACCTTTCCATTTCATTTTATGAAGAAACTGATTTTTCAAAAACAATAATGGGGGTGGGGGTTTCGTTGTATCGAGGGAGAGATGGAGACAATTCGTTAAGTAGAGGTTAAATTCGTTATGTAGAGGTTCTGACAATGATAAATTTGTTATATTGAGGTGTCCTATTTTAGCCAGGATCATGAAAAATTTGTTAAATCAAGGTCGTTGATATGATTTGTTCGTTATGTAGAGGTAAAATATACATTGTGTCTTATGGAGAGTTCTAGGGGATTTTAAAAAATTTGTTATATCAAGGAATTCGTTATATCGAGGTTCGTTATATCAAGGTTAGACTGTAATTTAATTTATCTCTAAAAAACATATTCTTAAAGTGCACTGAGCAGCAGTCTAAAAAATACTATGTAACTTTCTCATATAGGTACAAAATGCTCAAACTCGCATTGTGACATTAATTTATGAATCGGCTTATATTTCTCCAACAGTTATTCATCTGCAAAAGAAGTTCAGTGTGCTCTTATCGTGTCTAATAACATCCAAACACATAAACCTTGCCTAAAATGGTACCTATCTTGACACATTATTTGCAGTGGCCTATATTACGGACCGTGGCCCACTGGGTTGGTAACATCATTGAAAGTAACACGATTTTGGCTGGAAGAGTAAATACTATTTAAGCAGCTACTGTCATGACAGAAAGGTCATATTTCTTTTAAACTAGATCACATTATCCTTTATAAGTTGATTAATAATGCATGTAAACGTCAATATTTACGTAACAGCCAATTTACAGTATGTTTTTATCTTTGGAAATGCCATATTGCTATTTGATTTGCATTATCTGTTAGGCCCCCAACCGTTGATTTCGACGGGTTTTACCTAGTTTATTTATATTAACATATTTAGGTATTTTACTATCAATTATATTAGGTAATATGTGGAATGTGGGGATTAATATATTTTTTTAATGTGTTGTTAAGAGTACTGTTGTCTTGTCTATGGTTTGGTATTCTTCTACTTTGTGTCAGGTGTTACCTATTTCTTTCGAGTACCGTAATTTTTAACTATAAACCAACCTTGAAGAAAAACTGATTGCAAGCTATAAGATCTGATACAGTAACAAAAATGAGGTTGGAGATGGAATTTTAGACAGCAGTACACTCTGTGACAGGCTAACCATAAAAACTTTAGAAATCTTCATTTGTAGGCATAAGAGGCCAGTGTCATCACTGAATTATGGGTCTTCCAGTGAGAGCCGTGTCAAGTTGGTATTTACACTACGTACAAAACCAGATGTTTCGCCCGTGCTACGATGAGGCATCCTCAGTCCGAAAGCTGAGTCTCTCTCTCAGGCATAGATGAGTCATAGATGGCCTCCCCATCTCAACTGATAATAGTAATGATAATTTTAAACAGGGAATAAATCTGACCAGGTTATGGAAATATTTTAATCAAGATACAATCAGTCAAACCTAAATTCGCTTTGTCTGTATATTTGCTGCGACATGAGTAGTGTAACCCTATCCAGGCAAGTAAAGAAGTTTCAAGCATAGGGTTTGAGAATCAGAATTTGTTTTAATGTTTTGGTTTTGAGATTTGAAATGTTTGGTTTCAGCTCTAACTATTTGCTACAGCTGGTCTACTTGAGTATCCAAACGTCTTTTTTCCTAAATCTTAGGTTTTTCACTATAGTAACATTATTTATCAAATTTAAAAATTAATATTTCAGATTTCTGTTTGGCTATGAGGATGTTTTTCCAAAATAGTGCAGGTGCAATGTATGCAACAAGATTTGAAACATTGTTTTTAAAATATCTTAGGTGTGACCCATCAGATAAATATCCTCAAATCTTTTGGCTTCAGTTAAATTTGATTGTGTTAAGAAAGCGGATAATGTACGGTAGGCCTAATGTTTTGCTCGTCTTCAACACAAAACAAACAAAATGGTGAACCTACATTACTTAAAAATTTAACGTCTACAGGGACAAACAAACATAAATTTATAGAAAATGCTCTAATTTGCTGGGTTTTGTTCCACTCTTGTCCGTTCATTCTCAGTGTCTGCGTCTCTCAGTGAAATTCTTAGCTGGTTGAGTCATAATCCAGGTGTTATGGGTTTATAAATGCGGCAAGCAAACTCTCAGGCTCTCCATGAGGAATGAAAAACTGGCTGGGTAGCTGAGGTGTTATAGTGCTTGACTAACATTTAAATGTTTCTGGTTCCATCCAAAGAAAGTCAGTAGCTTTTTGATAGTCCACTGAACCGAGCTGCCCCTGATATTTGGGCTTTAAATAAATGATCCTGGCCAAGGAAACAGCTGATCTTAGTCAGTAACATAACAAACCTACACAAATCATCTTGCCCCATTATACATTTACCATGTATTTATATTCAGCTCAAGTACACACTTGTATGTGCGTCACTGTCTTAAAGCAGTGGTAATCATAATGAATAATGTTTGCCATTTTTGTATTTCAGAGGTCCACATTTTGAGCTGATGGCTTCAGCTCGATTGACGTTGGACGATGTCCATGATAACATCCATACATACGACCTTAAGCTGGAAAATCCAGAAGTACGGAGTCATGCGCTGCCCTTGTTTGGTCACTTCTGCTGTCGTTTAGCAGCACAGCCGGAGTGTACTGTGGGGGAGGTAGCGGCGGGGCCTCTATGGGCCTGGGGGGGCCCTGATCCAGCCTGGGCCCGTCTACACAACTTTACACTACAACTGTGGCAGGACAGAGAGGCTTACACCCAGGGCCTTCCCAGCTTACAGACTGTAGTCATTGATAGGGTAGGTAAATTTGCTATACACATTTTAAAACGATGACAGAGAACAAGGCTTAAGAACACAGTAGTGCTTACTTTATAAAATAAAAAAACATTTTAAGACCAACCATTAATTTTTATTTATTTATTTATTGGTAAAGGAACGGTCCATTCTAGTAAGTGTTTTTCAGGGTGTCTAGTAGTCGTGAATTCGTATTGAATTTCAAAACGGTCTTGAAAAGTCGGGATTTAGTCTTTATTTTGTTGTAACAGTCTGGAATTTTTGGACAATGTAGAGTCTATTGAGATATTCATGATTTGCCATGATCATGCTAGATGACAATCGGGTTTCATGACTGCAGGAGACGATGCGATGTCTACACGGCCGCAGGAGATGTTTATGATTTTGCCGCATTCGCGCAAGACGACAATCACGTTTTCGTGGACACGGAGACGATGATGATATCCACACGCTTACAGGAGATGTTCATTATTAAGACAACGATCACATTTTATTGACCGTGGGAGACGATGATGGTGATGATGCTGTTTAGAGATCCACGGGAGATATTCATGATTTTGCCACTTTGGCACTAGACGACCATCACGTTTCCATGACCGTGAGTGTTAATGATGAGTGTTAATGACATTGCCGCGGGAGATAGTTAAAATTTTGTCGCGATGGGGGAAGAGGATGATAATGTCAACATGACCTGGGAATTATTCGGGATTCTGTCACGATCGCAGGACTCGTTGATAACATTTCCTTGACAGCAGAAGACGATGATGGTGATTCTGTTGATCCAGTATTCAGGATTTTCCCTTGACAGCGAATTTGATGTTTCCGTGACTAAAGGAAGACATTCTGGGATTTTGCAGTGATCCCAGAAGTCAAGGATGATGTCTTTACGACCGCAGATTGGCTTGACTGGAAATATCAGGCTGGCACACCTCTATCTAGTTAAAATAAAATTGGGTTTTGTCGTTAGATTTCATTTACCTTCGATATGGTAGCTATTTAATGTGTTAAGAAGGGTTTAAACCCAAATTGGCTAGTTAGAGTTTATCATTGCTGCATTGGTTTTTTCTTTACCTGAAAAATACCCCAATGTTTATTCAAAGTACCTTATGTTTGACATAAAGACAGAGGTTGGTGTAGTATAACCAAATTATCTATATACAAAATAGGCAAGCACAATTTTTGTCGGCAGAACTCCTCTGTGGTTTCTCCACTCATTGGAAAGATCTCATTGAGTAGATGTCATAAGGTTTTACATGTTGAAGAAGCCCTCTGGGCTCTGCCCAAGTGGCTTTTTAAGTTCCAATGTTTACCATTTTTGTTTACATAGGTTCAAGCTATTTCTTTTAACAGCTGGTAATATTTGTATATGTTTATGTTGTAATGAAAACAGATAATATTTGTGAGATTACATGGCTTTTTTAGTTTTTAGTGAATTTCCCATGTAGGGAATAATATATATCTTACTTATATTATAAATGTGAAAGTTTGTGTGTTTGGTTGTTTGTTTGTTTGTATGTTTGTTTGTTTGAAGTTCAATCATGCATAAACTACTGGACGGATTGGGCTGACATTTGGTTTTGTGATAGCTCACATTCCGGATTAACATATAGGCATATGGTCATCTAAAAAATCCTTTCAGTTTTTTCAATTCTCTCCAAAATCTTTCATTGTACAACAACGCTTCAATGTAAAAAATTTGTTTTTTTTCAATGGCTACAGTGAAAGTTGGGCATTTCCATAAATTTAGTAAACATCTTGAAAACCAAATTTTTGCAAAATGTTAAAACCCCACAACACTCTGTTCTTGTTAACTGGTCTTGCTGGGATGCAAACTCAATCAAGTTAGCCAGGTCCTCTCATTCAGGCCAAATGGGACCAAAATTACTTGAGTTATTGTCTTCACACGGATACTCACACACACACATATATATATAGACATTTTTTAACATTCAAATTAATAAGTTTTTTTTTTGTGTCTGGGAACATCAAAATGAAAAAAGTAAATGAGTCCCAAATCTAGGTCTTTCTGTGCCACCTACGGCAATAGCTTTTCCTGATAAGGAAATTTCCTTTAAACAAATTCTATTTTCACATGCACTTAATTTTTTATGTGCATATCAAAATAAATCTTAATTAGAATCATTACTAATAAGAAATACAAAATAATAATGTTTAATTGATTACAGAATACTGTGATAAAGCCTGTGAAGGCTTCTAAGTTGGAGATGGAGGTGATGAATGAGAGCGGAGGACAGCAGGAGGGAGTGGTGCTGAGGACGGAGACTGCTGAGCAGAGGGACCAGTGGCTGAGGCATCTGCAGCAGCACATACACGATCACAAGAGGTGAGACAATCATATATCTAAAGCCATTTTGATTGTCCGTATTTAAACAGGAAACAATAAAACCTGCTAATCTGACCTCGTATAGTCCAACTCCTCGCTTTAATCTGACCTTGCCATCGCCCATCAGTTATAATGTTATTGCCAAAATATCTTGACCATTTCCCATATTCCTGTGGACATCATCATCGTTTTCTGTGATTGTGGCAAAATATTTAACTTCTCCCGTGGTCATAGGAGCATTACCAAGGTCTCCCGCAGTTGGGACAAAATCGTGAATATCTTCTGCAATAACGGAAACATCATCACCTTCAATAGATTCAATAAGATTCAATAAGATTTATTGCAGCCATTAAACATAACATTTTGTAATAGGCATTGTTACAATAGTACTTAAAAATAGATCATACATCAATTATAAATTTCAATACATACAATATCCTATTTAAAATCTAAACATGATATGTCACTATTTAAAAATTCTTCCTGCGTGTAGAATGCTTTTGATTTTAAAAACTCAGTAATTTTTCTTTTAAATTGGTTTAAAGGTAGTTCACGAAAAGAAGTGGGTAGCTTGTTGAAGAAAATATGTTGGATGTAAAAATGGCTATTTAAAGTTTTTGAAAGTCTGATTTGAGGTGTGATTAGGTTGTTTTTGTGCCTCGTGTTGTATGGATGAGAATAGCTAGAAAATTTTAAGGGGTTGTTTTTTATATGAATTAAATTACAAAGAAAGTACATAGATGGCAGTGTAAGCAAATTTAAATTGGAAAAATGATCCCTACAGGATTCATGATCTTGCAATCCTAGCATGGCTCTAAGAGCTTTCTTTTGCCAAACAAATGCTTTCTGAGCTAAATGTGAACCACCCCAGAGACGCAAACCATAAAGCAGCTGTGAGTGAAACAAACCGTAGTAAGTCATTTTTAGAGTGTTAAAACTCACACATGATCTAAGTTTTCTCAAGAGACAGGTTATTCTAGCCAATCTTTTACAAAGTTGTGTAATGTGGTTATCCCAGCTTAGTCTGTTGTCAAGATGGATGCCTAAGAGTTTGACTGTTTTATAAGCATCAGTGGGTTGATCTTTTTTTAGTGAAAAGTAGATGTATTCTGTTTTTTCCTCATTGATAGCCAAATTTTTGATTTTATACCCGAATTTAGCACAGTTTATGGCATGATTAAGATTGTACTCAACTGTTAAAACATTATGATCTTTACAGAACAGGGTAGTATCATCAGCATAAAGTATTGATTGACTAGGGATATTAAAACTTAAGTCATTACTAAAAAATCAAAAACAGGAAAGGTCCTAAAATGGACCCCTGCGGAACACCAGCGATCAATTCCAAAATATCATAATAATCATCTCCTATCGCGACCTGCTGTTTACGGTTTTCCGGGTAGGATTGAATGATGTTGAGTTCACGGTTCCTAACGCCATAGTAATATAGTTTATCAAGAAGAATGGGATGGGAGATTGTGTCGAAGGCCATGGTCAAATCAATAAGGCATGTACCTGTTACCAACTTGTCTTCAAACCCTTGCAAAACTTGGTTAATTAATTCTTCTACAGCCGTTGTGGTTGAACAATTGGCTCTAAAGCCGTATTGACCTTTGTATAAAAGGTTATTAACAGTAAAAAAGTGTTGAAGCTGCTCAAGCATACATGATTCAATTATTTTTCCTAAAATTGGAACCAAAGCTATTGGACGATAGTTTGATGGGACATTCTTGTCGCCTTTCTTGTGAATTGGCGTTACTCTGGAGGTTTTTAAACAATCAGGAAACTTTCCTTCAATTAGAGCGAAATTTATAAGATGTGTTAAAGGTTCCAGGATAAAATTAACTATGTATTTAAGAGTAAAATTGGAGATTCCAAACAAATTTTCACTACGGGAACCACTGAGTTTACAGACCAAAGAATGCACTTTATGTTTATCAACAAGGGTCCATTTAAATATCTGGATGTCAGGAGTATTAGAATATGGCTTAGGGCAGTTACTCAACAATTCAAGATGAGTAATTACATTATCATCATTATAGAGTTTATTTTGTGTGTTGTTTGAAACAGAAGTAAAGAAATTGTTGAGAGTGTTAGGTGTTAAAGTTGTTTTGGAAAATGTTTTAATCTGTCCTGATTCTTTTCTGATTATTTCCCAAGCTTTTTTACATGTATTTTTGGATTGAGCAATTAGTTTGTCATTAGCAGTGATTTTGGCTTCTCTTATCTTGTTTGTATACATGCTTTTGTAACTTTTAAAATTGTTCCTATCATTTACATTCTTGCTATATTTTCATTTGTATAGTTTCGGGCTGTCTCTGTGTAAATTTTGGCAATCATTCACACCACAGAGACAGCCCGGAAGAGATACATTTGTCATCGGCTTCTTCCCATTAGTCTGATAAGAGATAAGGAACTATTACGTGATATCTGTCTGTCTGCCAGGTCCTTATGCATTTTAAGGTTATTTGAGGTTTATATAGAACTTATCTAACCTAACTTGACCTAACCTAACCTAACCTAACCTAACCTAACCTAACTAAACTCAGAAAAACTGAAAATTTAGCAATAATCAATACATCAAGTAATAAGATACTGTCAATTGCATTTTGGTGATTAAAACGATTAAGAGATATTATAAGATATTAGAATGCTAGTCAACCATTTGTCACAACTGTTTAGAGCATGAAACAGTTGTATTTGATAGAAAAAGCATATTATTTTGGGGGAAAATGCATTAAAAATATGGATACATTAAACGTCTGTAACTTTAAAACTACAATAGCTACAGCTTTGGTTAAAACTGAGTTTTAATCAGCATAAAGAATACTACAAGATGTATATGTTTAATCATCTCCGAAACTCTGATTTAAGAAAAAACTACAACTGTATTAGGCTATTATTTGTTGACTTAGAAAGAATGTGGCGTCAGCACATTCCTGGGAGGTCCGGCCATGACTCAGGTGTCAATGAGCAGTGTACCTTGCGAATGGTATTGTTGTAAACTTTTATTTGTATTTAAACGTTGGAAAAGACTATATAGATAAAATGTAGTTATCGATTTGTAATCGTCATGAAATTATGTTTGAGAAATGTCCAAACACCATCTAAATCTGACTTTTCCAACGTGAAAAATCAATTTTTCCCGAAAAAAGTAAAAATATGTATTAATTTAAGGCTAAAAATGCGTTTAAACGCATAATACTATTCCAAAGGATAGAACCACTTTGAAATGTAACATACAAAGTCAGATCTAAGCCTAAAAACTAGCATTTTTTACGTAATTTATGATTTTAAACAACCTTGTATACAGCATAGAAATCGCAAATATTGGCTTAAGTACTATGATTTTAAATGAAAGTTGGGCTTTAATAATAGCACAAAGAGGCTTAAAAACTAATACGATTAAAGATTATGTCAAAAATATACATTTAATGCGTCAAAAACATTACGTAAAATAATTAATTTGGTCCAACAGGTTTTCCGTTTTAAACTTTGAAATGCTTAAAATAGGCTTAAATAATATGATTTTGAATACAATTATAGCTTTTTGAATTGCAAAAAGAGTATATAAAACGAATAAGTACAACATATACAAAAAACACTCATTTAATGGGTTAAAAACCTTACGTGAAAATTGATTTCGCGTAAAAGAAATTTCCGATTTCAACTATAAAATGGCAAGAAAAGCTTAAATACGATAATTTTGAATAGGGTTATGGCTTTGTGAATTGCACAAAGCGTGTATAAATAGAATAAAACTACAATATAGACCAAAAACACTCGTTTGATGGGTTAAAAACATTACATTAACAAAATAGTCAAAATCATTTTTGGTGCAATCTTACTTTATTTGTTTATTTTCTTGAAGGTTATATATTTTGAACGCTTGAAAATGCTTTATTACACTACAGAACTATATACTCAATGGTATAGAACCAATTTAGAGGATAAAAAGTCAATAGTTTGCTTAAAAATTCAAAAACATAGTCAGATTTACAAGAATTTCATTCCTTTTTCTCATGCAAACGATACATTATTTGTTAATATCTTTCAAAGTAATCACTTTAGAATGTCTAAAAACTCATATATCAACAGGGTACTAGTTGGAGCAAGGTAATAAACCAAAAAGAAATCATAAAAACTTATAGTTTACTCAAAAAATGAGTTTTTTAAAGCGTAAACCTAAAGACCACCCACTGTGCCAATGGGACTATGGACACGTGTAGTCACTAGTGTCTATCAACAATAACATGTTCCATTATGACATTATATGATTTTGGTCAGATATTGTAGATATTTCAATTATATACACCCTGCAGTTGATCCCATACCTATGGGTTTAACCAATCAAGAGTTATAAGAGTTTGAAATGTCAAATTTGACAATTTTGTTTACTCCCAAAATACAACTGTTAAAGGTTTTTTTTTTCAAATTTAATTCATATTTCTCCTCTTTATTTAATCCTTAGAGGTATATAATACCTACAGTTGGTTTAATCTTATTATTTATCAAGTATTTGTGGAAAATTCACAACCTGGCAGACAGACAGATATCAGGTAAAAGTTCCTTATCTCTTATCAGGCTTATGGGAAGAAGCCGATGACAAATGTATCTCTTCCGGGCTGTCTCTGTGGTGTGAATAATAACAATAACAATAAATATTTACGCATTGACTCCAATTCTGTAGTAAACCAACTATTACATCTATTATTAATCTTAAATATTACTTTTCACATTTACAACAGGACAGCATAAATTAAAATCTGAAATTAAAACCCTAAGAAAATATGTAAAAGCTAAGTTTATGTCATTAATATAATACAAGGTAGACCAATCGATATTACTTAACCTATTGAAAAAATTTTCAAGTCTTGTTGATGATACAAGGCGTTTCCTATAGTAAGAATCCTCTTCGTTAACTAAGCAACTGTTATTCTTATTTTTACCAATCATGAATTTTGAAACCACTCCAGCATGATCCGATATTATTCCCTCCC